AGTTGTTAAGGGGCTTTCTAAAAGTTCCAACAACCAAGCCAGTTTACAGGTAGCCAGTACTCAGTGGCTACTAGAGAAAGCTTTGAGTACAGTTTCGGCGCCATCTCGTGTCTAGTATTGAGATCAGCACATCCAAACAAGGAAACAAATACATAGAGCAGAGGTATGAAGGAGTTGATCTACTCTGGGAGGGGTGAGTAGCCAGGTGTTCCTGAAAATTTAGAGAGGGAAGGGAGATGCAACTGGAGGAGTAGGCTGGGGTCAGCTCCTGAAGGAAGGCTTTATCTCATGGGCACTGAAGGGGGGTGAGCACCTCAGTGATGTCATCAGATGTGTGTTTTAAAACAATTCAGCTGTAGGCATATAGGCATGGGCTTCAGGTGCTTATGGGGTCAGCACGTGCAAGACTATGCTTACTGTCTCAATTCTTGGGCCAGATCATAGGAAGAACTGCCTTCTACCAGAATATAAGCAGGGATTATTGGCTGATTTGTTCACATTTCTATCCACACTGCCGGGTACATGATAGTTTTTATCAAAAAATAAAAGGGGCATATTTTACAATATAAAGATGACATGATAATACTGTCAAAATGCAGATCCCCTACCCCATCCATCCCTAAAGCACCTTTTTAGAGAATAAGGGATACACTCTGACTTCGCACCAGCCCAATGGGCAGACATCACTCTCCTGACCTTACAGATGAAAACAAGGAGGCTCAGTGAGGTGGCCCTGCTAAGGGGCAAGGATCTCTCCCCATCTGTGACTCTTTCACTACTCAGACCCTAGAAAGCTCCTTGCTGCCTGTTTCATGTACTTTGGGACCAGGCAAGGCTTAGCTGTGTGTCAGCGGTGTCACACACGTACCCGCTGGACTGCCAGGTTACAGCATCTACCGCACGCCAGGGAAATGTTCTCTGAACAGCGTGAGGGACATTTACAGCTCCAGAAAAACAGTCTTTCAAGTGACCTTCCCCAGGACGAACCCCAACGACAGAGGCAAAATTCAGTCCCACTAGAAAATATGAAAAGTCTGTATCATCCCCTGAAGGGGAGGGCTTAAGAGAGGCTGCACACACCAGCGTCTTCTGCCTCCTCCCATTGCCCTAATTTTACAAATGGGGAACCTGAAGCCACCAAAGGAAGAGAGGTCTCTCTGAAAGTTACTTCGCAGGCTCAAGAGACCGGAGCGCGCGGCTTACCCGCTGGTCCTAGAAAAGAGGGGTCCTGAGGCGATGCGCCACAGGACTTCCGGAGCAGCCTCACCTCTGCACACCCCCAGTGCCTCCACCAGCCGCTACCCACTGCGCCTCGGTCCTGTCACCCACCTGCTCGGCTCCCGGGCATCCGCTCTGCCCCGCCCCTCGCTCCGCCTGGCCCCGCTCCGCTCCACCTGACCCGCTCCGTCCGCCAGCTTGGCTCCGCTCAGTCCAGTTCGGCCCACTCAGCCCTACCCGGCCCTACCCGGCCCCCACCCGGCCCCACCCGGCCCCACCCGGCCCCACTTGGCCCCACTCGGCCCACGTGCTTGGCCTCTTTCAGCCAGGAGAACGCAGTATCTTCTCACCTCTGCCCCATCCGGCCCCAGGGCCACATGCTGGGCACAGCCGGGCTCCACCGCGCGTACCTCCTCGTCCCCTTCTTCAGTAACACGCAAAGCCCCCCGTACACCTGCCAGCTCCTCTCCTACCAGGCATTCTGGGGGAGCTAGTCCAACACGACCCCGCAGGGGTGTCCCAGGATTTCCGTCATTGCGGAGGCTGGGCGGACTGAGGGACAGTCCTGGGTTCTGGCATTTGGTAGACCTGGTGTGGCGTCCAGGTCCTCCACATCGCCACTGGAGGACCTTGGGGGGCACTTCTCCCTTCGGAGTCTCAGTTTCTATTTGCAGAATGGAGCTGTGGATAATTCTGCTTTCCTGGGGCTAGTGGGAGGACCAGGGAGCCCGTGAGCACGTGTTGAGCGCCATTTGTGTGCGGAGCGAGTGTGGACGCAGAAAAGATCCTGGCGCAGCATCCTCCAGGAGCACACAAGACTAAACAGGGTGTGTTTTAGAAGACCAGGCCCTCTGCTTTGCTCTAGCTGTGTGGCTTTGAGCACGTCACCTAGACGCACTGAACCCTAAGTTTCCGCTCCCTAAGGCAGGCAATAGCTCCTTTCGCAAGCAACAACCATCTGCGCTTGCCCTCCCCCTCCAGCCCAAGACGTCTCAGAATGAGGCTGCCCAGGTGTCAGTCCCATTCTCCGTTGTTCAGAAGGTTGGGTTGGGTCAAGGATAGCCTCTCGTAACAACCCTGCGTGTAACTAAGATTCGTTCCAGAAACATTAAATAGCTTGAACTCAGAGATGGGGAGAGAGGGCAACGGTTGGGTACTTGAGTTGCAGGCTGCAGAAACGGAATTTATTAATTTAAATAAAAACAATTGTTGGAAGGATACCAGGGAGATAGTGGAATAAGGGAAGGCTGAAGACAAGGATCAGTAAAGCAGGAAGGAGCCGGGCTGTCCCAGGTGGTTTTGTGCCCCAAACTTCTGAACAATCTTGGACACTACTGCTATATGAAGGCACCACAACCCTTTCTGCTGTCTGACTGGGCTCTCACTGCTAATGGGGCATAGGTGTCCAGGCATTCTTCACATTGACCTGAGCAGGTTTTGAAGGATGAATAGAAAGTTGCCAAAGGAAAAGGGAAGGGGACCTTCCGAGTAGGAGCTGCATGTCCAGGGCATGTCCAGCATAGGGCAGGAATCTTGGGGCAACTCAGAATTCCACTTGCCACACTGTGCCAGTCATCTTACTCAAGGCTCACAAAAACCCTACAAAAATAGGTATTACTAATTTTTTGGAAAATTTTCTTATAAAAATGTTAAAAGCTTTTATAAAGGATTCAAGCTATAGAGCAAAATGGTACAAAAATGAGGGGGGTAGGCTTCACACATATTCTAGTAACCTAGATATCCAGGGTTAATATTAGGCCACATCATTCCAGATATCTTTCTAGGTATATCTGTTGCTGGAGGCAGGAAGGAGAGAAGGAAGGAGGAAGCTTGGGTGGAAGGAAGGTGGGGAGGGTAGAAGGAAGGGAGGAAAAGAAAGAACTATAAATTGGGATGACACTCAGCATGCTAATTTTTGTTTATTTCCATTTGGAATGTTTATTTTAATAATTACGCAAATATAAGTTTAAGTCCTGAATTTTCATTTAACACTGTATCATGCAAAATTTCCAAGACTTTAAATATGCTTTGGAAGCAGCATTATAATGGCTGTACAATATTCTATCAAATTCATGAATTATAAATAATAATTTATTTTACTATTTATCTATAGTTGGACATTTTAATTGTTGCTAATTTTCACTATTATAAATAACACTGCAGTAAACATCTTTGCATATATGTCTGTGAACCTATCTCCGATTATTTCTTTAGAAGTAGCATTACTGATTTAAAGACTATGAATATTTTTGAAATAATTCTCAGTTTGCTTTCCTAAAGTTAGTATTAATTTATAACCTCACAAATAGTGCATGAGTACCTGTTTTAGTGAGTACTGAGAATTAACATTTAAAGTATATTTTGTCAATTGTACAGATTAGAAATAGTATTTTATTGTGGCTCTATTGCATATTTCTCTAGCAATGAGTTTGGTAATTTTTTATATATTTTTGTAATTAATGTTTTTCAATCCATAATTGTCTATTCATGTTCTTCTTTATTAGAGTCATAGTGATTTTTAGAGCCTCTTATTATGTCTTAAGGATAGCTACCTCTTGTCAAAATTATTTTTACCCAACTAAATATTTACTTTTATATTGTTTATAGCTTTGTGCTTGTTTTTTATGATGTACAGAAATTTTAACTTTATTACATCATTTTTTCCTTTGTGATCTCTTTCATTGCCTTTGTCTTAGAAAATTCCTTTTTACCTTCATACCAGTTAAAAAGACACATCTGTTTTCATCTAGTATTTTAGAGTTCCATTACTTACACTAAAATCTTTAATAAACCCTTTAGTATGTTGTAAGTTCATTGCTTAGTTATGCTTCGATAGGTACATTTCCAAAAGTCTTTGCTGAATGAATCATCCATCTCGCTTGCATTTGTTTATGATGTTTCTTCACAATACACCTGTTTCTTAGTCTGTGTGCTAAATTTTAAAAATAAAATATGGAGCTGATTTATACTGAAATTTAATGAAAGAAAAAGAATCTAATTGAAATAAGAACAGTTGCTAACTTTACTCATTGTTTTGTTACTGTTATCGGATATTATTTCCTACAAGACCCCCTAAGATTATAAAGAACATTAAGAAGTTGGGGGTCATGTGTTTGTTTAAATTAAGTGTTTCACACTCAGCTCTATTTTTCCCTGCTGTGAAGAATGAGAAAAGTTAAGTCCCTCACACTCTCTTCCCTGCCCACGCCCAACATTCGGCTGCTGGGCTATTGTTTTTATAATGCCAAGGTCTGTGATAATCACATTTACTCTGCCACCTCCCTTCCCTTGGATGTTTAGACCTAGTTCTGGGTTTATTTGGAAGCATTGCTTACTTCTGGTCCTGTTACTCTGCCTTTTCCCTCTCCGAGTTCCCTGTCTAAATTTATCTCTTGGTTGGCATAGTCCCACTTATAAATGTGAAATCAGGCTTGTTCAAAGACACTTTGCCCATGGCCAATCAGTGCAGGAGTTGAAGATTCTCATCTACATTCACCAGACTCCAGAGACAGTGCTTAGGAGAGCAATGGGAGCCACGAGCTTTTAGTCTTGGGGTGAAGGAGTACGGGTACCCTCTCTTCTGGAACCTTCTAGGGAGGCCAGAGGAGCCTGGATAGGATCGCAGCTAACTCTGATCCGGGGGGTTAGATTCGGGGCTGGGCAGGCTTTCTGTGGTGCTTCCGAGAGGGCTGAGGAAGGAATTAATGACACAGGTTGCTGGTCCTCTTGGCATAGATTTATCTGGAGTCTGACGACTATGGACAGAAAGTAGAACAATGAGTGTACTAGCTTTGGGGGCGCATATACGAAGATTGGAATGATACAGAAATTAGCGTGGACCCTGTGCAAGGGTGATACACAAATCTGTGAAGCATTCCATATTAAAAGAAAAAAAAAAAGACAGTAGAACAATAGGGAAGCCCAAAGCATCTGTTTCCCTTCTATTAGAAACAAAAATTCCCCAACCAGGAGCCTAAACAAAAAGAAGTCTATTTTCCTTTCACTTCGGGGAAAAAATGAAAGCCTAGAGGTGCAGTCTGGGCTACAGTGGCAGCTCATCCACGCTGGCAAGCCCCGGGGTCCTTCTTGCTTTCCATTCTGCCCTTCTTTTCAAGATGGCAGCCAGAGGACCACCAAGAAGGGGAAATTCAATGGACTAAGAACCTGGGACTTCCACCTACATCTCTGGCCACAACAGAGTCCTGGCCTCTCCTAGCAGCCCCGGGTGCTGGGCTATGTCATTTTGTAAGTCTGTCAAAAGACAGAAGCTTCGTCTCATGGTAACAGACATTTCTTCATTGCTTTTTAAGCTATGATAGTGACAGCTACACCTACTCGTTTACGGATCTTTGTTGGAAGTGCCAAATGTGGGTCAGGCGCAGGGTTCACTATTGTGTATACGGTGGTGAAGTGACAAGGGTCTGGTCACATGCGTCACTTGGGGTGCTCACTATGTGCAAAGCACATAATATGTATTACTCCTTTTATTTCTTGTAACCGCACGGGGAAGTTAAGTATTATTATCTTCATCTTATGGACAAGTAAGCAGAGGCTGTGAGAGGCTAATAATCTATTCAAAGGTCCATAATTATATAACAGAGCCAGAATCCAAACCCATGTTGGCCTCCTCCAAAGCTTCGGCTCTTAATAATTTTTTCACACCAGTGGTTTCCATCCCTGGCTGCATCCAATGCCTGGGACCTATCCCTCAGATTCTGATTTAATTGGTTGGAAGTGAAGCCCAGGCATCCCTAAGCTTGTATTATCTTGTTTAATCCTCACAACAACTGGAGATGGAGGTATTTTTCTCCCTATTTAAAATTAGGTAAACTACAATCCAGCGAGGTAGACTCACTTGCCCAAAGTCACACAACAAGTCCACAGTGGAGCTGGGATGTGTGTCCACATCTCTTTACCTTCTCTAAAAAGCTGTCCTTGGCTCCAGAGAAAGGTGACTTCCGTTAAGTTGTGGAGTACACTGGCCAAGCTCTCTGCTCCAGCCAGCCCAGAAGAATGGGAATGTGTGTGCCTGAGGGGCAGGGAACCACGTGGAAGCTGGGTGATAAACGGGTTGGGTTATGCCAGGATGTGCGGCGGAAGCCCAGCCTGCTGAAGGCAGAGGTGTGGCTGGGCCAGGGTGGGGGCCGGACATGGGGATGCACTTTTTCCCCAGCACAACAAGCTGCGGGCTTCCTCCTCCCTAGCTGAGCCCTGCCTGATATGTCAGGCCTGGAATGGGCCACTAGCCAGGGACTGGAGGGCTGGCAGGCAGGCAGGGGCCCAGGGCCAGTCCCCAGAGGAAGTCACATGGCGGGGGTCACAGGCCTGACCCAGGAATGGTGAAGGGAGGGAGATATTTCAGGCCTGAGAGGAAGGGCCGGGCCCACGAGATGAATCACCCGGGACAGATTATCCTGAGGAAGACCTTGGGGGTGGAATTGTGATAAGCACCGTTCTCCCAAGGTGACCAGGATCCCGTGGTCTGCTGGCCACTGATCAGCCAGGCCACGTGTGATGAGAGCACTCAGATGTATCTAAGAAGGCCCACGAGCTCCAGATGCATTGCCAAAGTGACTTATCAGAGACCTTATACCATGAGGATGAGCATTTCCACTTTTCCGGACGAGAAAACGGCGCTCTGGAGCTAAGTCACTCGCTTGAGGTCACGTGGCTGAGGTGGGATTTGAAATGGGAGCCTGCCTTTCAGCCAGCAGGCCTCCCCAGAGCGGGGGACTAAGACTGGGACTGCCCTCCCTCTCCACTTGCTCCCTGTGTGGATCCAGAGTCTCACAGACAAAATGGCCGGGCTCTACTCCTAATGGCAAGCCCGGCCTCAGGTCTCATGCTTGCTTCTGGATGAGGCACTAGACTTTTTCAAACTCCTCAAGGTATGAATGGGAAGGATGGATCTCAGAGAGGGCAAAGGGCTTACCCAGGATTCCGGAGTAAGTCAGTCAGAGGCCAGCTCTATCTGGCTCCTGCCTCCCAGCCCACGGGTCTGTGCACTGCACTAGTATTTGGATCCTCAACAGCCTCTCCTCCAATGAAGCCAGACGTTGCTGGCACTTGGAGAGCTGCTTAGAGGCAGAAAAGCGACTCCCCCTCTGCCAGGAAGCCCTGTTTGATCTGGAGGGGACCTGGGCATCTGTATTTGTAATCAAGTCATTCTGATGGACTAAGAAGTTTGAGAAACCCTGGCAGGGATGATCTTTAAGATTCCTTCTGGCCCTAAAGGCTGGGTTCCAGTATATGTCATTACCACCACCACCACCACCACCACCACCACCATCATCATCAAATACCAACTTATGCTGAGTGCCTGATCTATGCCAGACACTCTGCTAGATGCTTTACATATATGACTGTGTGTAACTCAGAGGTAGCATTATTATCATCCCCATTTTACGGAGGAGGAAACTGAGGCTGAGGGGGGTTAATCATTTTCCTAAGATAGCACAGCCAGTGACTGAGCCGGGACCCAAGGCTGGATCTGCTGCTCTGGTGGGCTCAGCACCCTTTCATATGTGACTCTTCCCCAAGCCAGCCATGTTTTGGGAGCCTCCAGTACCTGCTTTGGGATTCAGTCTCCCCATCTACGGGAGGGACAGTCTCTTTGCACCCTTCACACTCTGCCCCAAGTTTGCAGACAGGCCTTTGGGTTTGCTGCCCAGCTGAGCAGTTAACAGGACTTTGGCAGCAGGAGGTGTGAGACGCTGCTTTTCCAGCCTTGATGCCCAAGTTCCAACTCCTCCCAGTCAGGATGCCTTGGCCCTGCTCATCCTGGCCCCACTGTGTTAAGCGCTGAATCACAGACCTGGAGTGAGCGGACCTCACACATAGCAGTGGGAGGGCTGGGATGGAGTTGAAACCGGCGCAGAGGCCCCCACTGTTGGCAGGGGTGGAGAGATGTGGGGGAAGACAGAAAGGGAAGTGATACTTTCATTAAGCATTCCCTGTGTGCCGGACACTCAGCTAGTTGCCAGGCAAGCACCTGAACCTCTCCACATCTCAGCTTTCTTTTCTGGAAAATGAAGCGGTTACGAGGAGTAAATGAGGCCCATTCAATGACTCAGTCACCCAACAATCAACCATTGAAGGCTGATTATGTGCCATGCCAGCCGTCATTCTAGGAAATGCAGCAGCGAGGTGACGAGTATCTGTCCCTCATAGGGCCAACAGTGCAGCCGGGAAAACAGACTTATAAAAATAAGTCAACAAAGAAACACATTCGTGTAAAGTTGGAGAGAGTGGCAGCAAATGCTAGGAAGTGAAATAAAGCCAGGGTGAGATGTGTGCAGAGTGTTGCGAAGGGACAGGACGGATGGTCAGGGGCTGCTTGAACCAAGTAAGGAACCACCGATAAAAGTACCTGGGAGAAGAGCGTTTCCGGGGAGCAAAGAACTAAAAGAGCCCATCAGGGAGCCTGGCACACAGTGGGTGCTCAATAAATGGTAAATGCTATCATAGTTCAGAGGGAGGGAACAGTTCCTTCTTTTACCGGGAGGGGGGGTGTCTCTGTGTTGCTGTTGCTTCCTAGCTGTGGGGATGTGGCCCGCAGGCACCCCCTTCTCGTCCCCCTTGCCCCCACCCCAGGAGAATGGGCCCGGAGGTCGACAGCCCCAAGCAGGAGGAGGAGGCCGAGCTTCTGTGGGAAAGGCTGCATGCACACCGCCCACCAGCCTGACACACAGTGGGAGCTTTCCTAAGTGGAGACTGCGGTGCCAGTCACACGGGGGCCTGGACGCTGGACAGCTACAAGATAATAGAGGCTCCCTCTCTCGTGAAAACCTCCACAGGGCTGGGTCATGGCCGGTGGCTTCGCACATCCACAGAATGAAGTCTACAGGCCTTTCCTCTCAACTCCTGAGCAGCTTTGGCAACCTTTTTTCCAGCCCCCCCGCCCCCCGTCTCCTCCCAGCTCATGGCTCTCTGCGGGCTGGACACCCTGGGTCCTGCGAACATCGCCCGAGCATGGCATCTGTGAACCCTCTTCTGGAAGTGCTCACGTGAGGCGACGGGGGCCGACCACCACACAAGTCAAGGTGATAGAGCGAGCTAGCTCTCTGCTCTGACTGGGCCAGCGCAGGGCCCCATGGAGATTAATATCCCTGGTGGAGGAGTCTGCCAGGGAGGCTTCCGGAGGAGGGGAACTGCATCTCAAAGCGTGTTTTTGGTCATTCGGTTTTCATTGAAGAGGTCTTCTCTGGCCACATTGGCCGAGAGGCCCCATCAAGCCCCTCTCTTTCACGCTCCTTATTAAGACTGCACTGTGATGGTGAGCAGGACCCCGTGCTGGCCCCTGACCTGATGGAGATCCCCCTTCCAGCACAGGGAGACAGACAAGAAGGAGACAAGGCACAGGAAGAAAAGCAGGGTCCCCGCAGTAGCCAGTGCTGTGAAGGGATTAGATGGGGGAAGGGAGGGAAGGTGGCTGGAGGTGCAGCTACTGTGGACTAAGTGGCCTGGGAAGGTGTCTTGGAGGGGTGACATTTCAGGGACTTTCTCAAAGCCCACACAGGATAGTCACAAAGCGGAGGGGAGAACCTCATTCTCTTGGCTTCCTTAGAAGAGCTTCTGCTCCATGCCCCGTGGTCCCAGACTTCCCCCTGGCTGGAAAACCCACACCTTTCCAACAGCCTTCCCCAGACACCCATCACTGGGGGGCCTGGTTCACGGGAATCTCTGCTCCTCCCAGTTGCTCCCCAGCAGCTCTAAATACTTGAGTTATAGAAACTTTTTCTCTGGCTTGTGTTGCTACAGTTTTCTTATAAGCACAAATGAAGAAACAAAAGAAGCAAATACACATGGGAAGATTCTACAACCCGAACCCCAGGAATCCGAGAATGGAGACTGTCTTAAACATGGACATCCTATCCTGATCAGTGG